TGGATTTAAGATTCTTCGATGAATTTCCCATATTTTTACGTTTTAAATAAAAGAATATTTCTTAATATAATTTTTTATAGTGTTTGTTTATTTATTTATTAATTAAAAAATTGGAAGAGAGAGATCTTTATAATTACATGTGTTGGTGTGTAGACGTTATAAGCAATCATAAAGAAAGAAATCTTTTTTTACCAGCAATCCTGTGGAAGACATACTTAACAAATACTGTATTGCAGTTTGAGAAAGATAGTTTTTTGTATTAATAAAGAAGAAAGTACGTGAACGTATAGCTTACCTGGTGCAGTAAACAATCCATTACCTATAGTAAATTTAATAAAGTCATATGGAGAATTTTTTTAATAAACATTAGAACTTTTTGTTAAAATTTAAAGAGAAAAGAAAAAATTTGTATAAAAAAATCTGAAATTGAAGAAAATCCTATTATGGGAAATCTTTTTAAACGAAGTGCAGTAAATTTATGAGTCTTATTTAAATGTTTTCAGGATCATCGAAGAAAACCCATAGTGTATGTCCTATCCGTAATCTCCATGGTGATGAATAATCGGAAAATATTTTTACCAAATTACCGGTAATATCTAATAAATATATACTTAAAATCGTTGGTGTAAATGTAGACATTATATATATATATTAAAGAATAATATATTTTTTATATTACCACATAAAACATATTCAGGTTTCAAATTATAGGATGAGCTTTAGGTAACGAAAATTTTTTGGCAATGTTATACTCACGAAATTTATTTAATATATATTTAAGACAATAGAATAACATAATTATTATTGCTGCTAAGGCAATAACTTTAGTCGTATAACATATGTTTCGTTAAACAAAATAAAAATGATAAAACTAGTTAAAATAGTTTTAAAATTTTGCTGGGCCTCCTTTTGTAAGCGAGGAATAGTTTTTAAGTTGACACTCCGCAGCGACTTCTTGTATCTTTTGTGTCCTAACAGAAACTAGGAAAGAATCATAAAACGGGGAGCCTATTTAAGCTAGAAAAACACAGTATTTTGTCCTGGTGTCAAAGAGACCTTCAACAATTACGTACAAAATACGACAGAAAGTTATATTTTATTAATTCATTTATTCCGTGGGTATTAATATTATTTTACATAATCACAATGCATATTTTACGTAGTTTTCAAGAGTAGAAGAAGTTAATCGATGATATAAACATAGTTACTTTTTTAAAAAATGTTGATTTTTTTCCTTACTTCTGTTTGACTTTTTATTATGCTAATAAATAATTTACTAGGTTCACGAAATACATTAAATGAGAAGCTAGAAGTGTTTTTATTGAAAGTAAAATTGAAATGATTTTATTTTGCATTATTATATATATGTATCGATAAGTTTTTATTATTTGAGAAAAAATACAAAGTTTTAACAAACACAAAAAGAAATTTTTAAAAATACAAAAAAAAGTAATCTTCGACGATCCTGAAAATATTAACGTAAAATTAATCAAATTTTATGATACCCCTTATAATGCGCTTACACATGTTGAATTTTTTTTATTCGTTGTATTTTATTTTTGTTTTATTTCTTATCTGCCTTTTAGATTTTATCAAATAGTTCTTATGGATTTGAGAAAAGTAATTTGTATGACTTTATGAAACTTTATGTCGGTAACGGGTTGCTTACTGCTCCAGGTAAACTATAGGGTATCATTTCCCAATTTTTTAATTACAAAATATTCAAAATGAAAAAACACATAATAAATTTTAATAAGAAACTTTCTCTTATTCAAAGTGTCAATATGGAAAATTCATCGAAGAATCCTAAATCCGGTATTCAAAAAACAAATGATCTCAACTTATGTGGACTCAATAGTAAAAAATTCAAACAGACTTATTAATAATTTAGAGACTAATACCGGAAAAAATGTAAATTTCCATCATTACGTACATTTATGTACATTGGATATAATATTTGGTGAGATTTGGAAATTTTTAAAAGTTCAAAAAATATCTTTGTGTGGATTGAAATTTATTAAATAAATATTTTATTTTTGTACTGACAGAAAGCCTATTGAAAATTGATTTAGATTTGCAGAAAAATTTGGAATTAAAATTTACGGGATATATTATGGAGTAATAATTAACAGAATATTTCTATACTTATATATATTACAATATGTTTCTTCATATTATATAACTTTTAGATTTTTATTCTGAATTAGAGCGTTAGACTTAGTTATGCAAAGGATCATCAAAATATGGTTACATCCTGACGTTACATTTAACAATTCATCTCTGGGAAAGAGAATGAAGGCACTTCTATCAATTCTTAATAAAATCACAAGTGAGGTATACGTAAAAAGATAATTTTTATGTTAATTGTCATTTTATTTCATAAATATGTGATTGCTAATATAATATTTTTTTTTTTCACATATATATATAACTTTCATTCGTCAAGATCAAAACAAAAAAAAAGGAAACAATAAAAGAAGGTATAATTCTATGAGAATCAAAGGGACTAGATAAAAGTAAGAATAACAATTTTATAAAAAATTCTATTATTTATAAGTTTATATATAGTATACTTTTATAACAATACTATATATTATATTATATACTCTTGATAATAAAGGTAAAATCAAAAGTTCTTTTCTCGACGTGCTTTTCATATCACATAACGAGAACGGAGAAATTTCAGAGCAAGATATTCGAGATGAAATCAATACGATAGTTTTAGCAGTAAGTGATGTCTATTTAATATTAAAGGCAATTGCTTATTTTTCATTAAATATAAAAAACAATTTGTATTACTTTTTAGGGAAGTGAAACTACGGCTGGTACACTGAAATTTTTATTTTTAATGCTGGCCTCGTTTCCGGACATTCAAGTACGTACAGATAATAATTAAATATTACCTTATTTGTCATTATTTTTTCAAAATCAAATGTATGTATGTACAAAACTTGTATGATGTATTCGACTTTACTAATTGCAGCAACAAGCATACGAAGAGTTGTACGATATTTACGGCTCAAGTGATACTAATGATGTTCCTATTACACTGGAAGATATCAACAAAATGAAATATTTGGAAAGAGTAATAAAGGAAACTTTACGTTTATTCCCTGCTGTTCCATTTATTGCACGAACACTATCGAGCGATACAGAAGGTATTCTTACACATAATAAAATATTTTTTGTAGATTATTTTTTCGATTGACATTAATGTCTTATGTAAGAATAATATATATTTATTTATCTTATCAAGTGGATGAAAATCTTGTAATACCGAAAAACTGCACTGTAGTTTTTTCAATGTTTACTCTTCATCGAAAAGAGAACTATTGGAGAGAGCCTTTAAGATTTAATCCTGACAGGTTTTTGCCTGGAAACTTCAACCAAAAATATTTCTTATTATTCAGTTCTGGGAAAAGAGGATGCATAGGTAAAAGCACATGATTATTTATTCTTGAATTAATATTCTAATCAGTTGATCAACTAAGTACATTTTTATTGAATATCGCTTTTTCAGGAGAAAAATTCGCAATGATCGAAATGAAGGCAATTGCTGCAACTGTATTAAGAAAATTTGATGTTCGAATGGACAATCCAGTTTCAGTTGAAAATGTAAACTTAAAAATCGGCATAGCTTTGAAACCAGCGGAACCTATTTTTTTGAGATTTAACAAGCGATAATGTTTATACTATTTGTTGATACTATGTTATTAATAAAGTAATTGTAATAATTCAGTGTACAAACAAAAAATAAATTTTAAAAACTATACGCTTCCTTTTTCAATTAGGATATTGGTATTTGTATTCTTAACTACATTAGAATTAATATTACCATTTAAAAGAGAAAAATAAACACAGTAGAAACAATTATGTATTTAAACAGAACAACTTTTATACAGAAAAACACATTTAAAGGAAGTAGCTCACGAAGTAAATTTAGACACGAGAGGATTACTCAATACGGAGTATTAAAATCAAAAACCCGGAGGAGAAATTAATAGAAATTAAGAGACGAGAAGGTCAACATACAAAATTTTATTTTGTAACACGTCTTAAAACTTGAGGAGCCGGACAAATAAAAAGTCTCAGCAATTGATTGAAAAGAAAAACTAATAGAATACTTCATTGCTTTGTTTAGAAATAAGAAAATATATTTGTCTTTTCAATTATAATTATAACTTGTTGAATAATTAATTAATAAAGTGAGCATTTATGGATTTTGATTAAGATTTTATAGAGCAATTAAGAGCACTTATTCATTTTTTTCTACTGTTAAAATTCCTGTTCAGCGTTCCTACGATAATATAATTGCAGTATAACGGTTCTTTTGACACGTTCCTTCAGTCATTAAACTAGAAATTTCTTCTGATATGTTTATTTTTTAAGTAATCTTTCAACTTTTTTTATATGAATGTAATTTATTTGTTTAACAATAATTTCAAGGTCACAAAAATGTGATATTCTAAAAAGATTTAATAATATATTTTAATAATAATTCACTTATAAATATTCGATAACGAATTCCCTCAGTAAAATGGTCAGAGGAAATTATTCGAATAATAAAGCATCAATCGGAAAATTCCAAGATGGTGTCGCAGTTTGATAGTAAAAAAAAAGAAACATGATGCTCTACTATATGCGTGATCGTTTACGAATTCCATGGAGAGGGAAATGGTGAGTCCTCCCAAAGTAGGCGTTACGGAAGGGAAAAGCGTGCCCTATTGGTCGTGAGCGTTCCTTATTCGTTGCATAAGAATAAATATGATGTCTTTCGAGTTAGAGAGAACTATGACATGTTGAAAAGGAGAGGGAAGCCTTTGTTGCTCTTCGTTGCTCAGGCTGTTGCCAGTTCTAAAGAATTTTAGAATATTTTCGCACGATTGACGATTTTAGTGTCTTATCATGAATATTAGATCCATATTATATACTCCAAAAACCCTCTAATACTAACTTATTAAAATATTGAACTACATATACATTTCTTAGCTACGTTTTGGTGGTTTAGGACCATTGTGCGCCGCTGGATGAGGAATTAAGAGGACTGTTAATTCTCGTTTGATTGGTTAGCACACTAAGCCCACGTTCCCAGTGATAAGACCGGATATTTGGATTTATCATCCGAATATTCCTCGTGTTATGGTTAACACAGGTCGTTACTTCGACTGTGGAAAAAAATAAATCGTATTAGGAAAGACCGTTTCGGATATAAATTACTAGAATCTAGGAAATAAATAGATGGAAGAAAAATATAAATATATGTGTCAGGTTGATAATAATAGTTTACTAGTCAGAAATAAAAGAAAAAAGAAAAAGATAGAGGACAAGTAGGTCAAGATTATAAGAAAATAGAAAATAAATAGTAGATAAGTAGTTAAATCTAGCTGCATCTGTTCCCTTTTCGTTCTGGTCCACGGGCCTCCTCTTCTTTGGGTTCCTTTCCCAGTTAGGATGAGCCAAGTGTTAGGTTGGTGCATATGAAATGATCTTTACATGTGAACGTTTTTCCTCCTGTTTTCGTAATTCTTTTGCTTCTGGCATAATTTTTTTTGTGGTCGTACTGTCCATTGCCAGAGTCACATTTCAACAAAGCAAATTTTCTCAAAAGTGTTCAATTTTTTAATTTTTTTTAAATTTTGTGAGGATATGAATTCAACCGATATTCAAGTAATTTTTATATATGAGTATAAACGTGGTAATAATGCTACAAAATTTGCACACAATATAAACCAGACGTTTGGGGAGAATACTGTTAACCATCAAAAAGTGCATCGTTTGTTTGAAAAGTTTCGGTCTCCTGAATTTTCCCTTTAAAAGAAGGCCCAAGACGTCTGTAAAAAATGATGCTCTGAAAACATTGGTGGAAACGAATCAAACTTTATCTACGAAGGAACTTGCTTCTAGAATGAAAGTTGACCATATAACAATATTATGACATCTTTCTGAAATTGGCAAGATGAACAAAATGGTTAAGTGGATACAGCACTAATTAACCAAGTAAAATAAGCTTGATCAATTAAACGTATTTTCATCACTATTAACCCGATTTTTTTAAATAAATTAAAATATGAAATTTTGCCGCACTTATCTTATTCACCGGATCTTTCGCTAACTAACTTTTATTTTCTTAAACATTTAAAACAATTTTTACGTGCTAAACAGTCTAAAAATGAAGACAGTCTGAAAAAGTCCATATCAGAGTTAATTGATTCTAAAAATCAGAATTTCTTTAAGACAGGCATCTGTGTATTATAATCTCGTTGGTAAAAGTGTATTTAAGCAAATAGAGTTTGTTTTAATTAAATAAACTGATTTTGAAAAAAGATACGAAGTTTTATATATTCACTTTAAAATCCGACATTTCATACGCACCAATCTAATAGCATCTTAAAATACTTAAGTAGCGTGCTGTTTCTATAAATAAGGGAATGAATTGTTATGAAGAGAATGATCGCCTTCGTTTTCCAATTTTTGATGACGTGGCTCTACTTGAACAAGTGAACTAGGATGATTCCTAGGTACTCGACCTGCTTGCTTTAAGACATTTTGAAGCTTCAGAATTGTATGGGACTAGGGCAGGACAAAATCCGTCAGTGAAATCTGATTGTCCCTTTCTTGGAAGGGTTCAGAGTGAATTTTTTGTAGATAAGGTGTCTGTAGATTTAGCTCATGTGTGTTTCGTGAGATGCTTTCAAGTATGCGTAAGATAACGAAGAAGAAAGAATTGCTGTGTCATCTGAAAAACAATCTATTCTATCAATTAGGTTTCTAGGAATATCGTTGACGAAGATGTCTAATAATATTTAACCAAGAATCGACCCTTGGGCTATACGAAGGGGAACAGGGGTGAATGAGGAGAGGGAGTGATTGATAAAGACATGGAAGGATCTGTTGGATAGAAAACTGAGTAAGATTTTTATAAGTTGGGGAGGGGGTAAAATTTAGTTTAGAGAGCTTGAATAGAAAACTGTGCCAAGACCTTTGTGTTGAGACCTAGTAAGACAATGGGTTAAAGTTTCTTGTTATTGTGCTCATAAAAAACAAATTCAATGAATCTTATTAGCTGGTATATGATAGAGTGATTATTGCGGAACCAAAATTAATTAATTTTTTAATTGATTAAGTTATTGATAATTAATTAACTTAATAATTAGTTTATTAGGATAACTGATTAAGATATTGTTTTGCTTTAAATAGTACTAATTCATTAAGGATAATTCAATTTAATATTTTACCAAGGATACAGAGAATGTTGATGGGTCTGTAACTATCAGGATCATTTCTATTTTTGCCCCTGATTAGGAATGTAGGATAATCGTAGAGACTGTCAACTCGGATGGGAAGTGGGCAAGCCTAATGGAAATCTGTTAAATGTAATAAAGTTTCCTGTTCTTGCGCTTTTGCCTGAATTTTGAGATATTGCCCGACTTTGGTGTCCTCTGCACAAATTCGTTATTGCAGTTGAAAAAAGTCTCTTACCTAACCCCTAAACGACAAAAATCGTAATCCCTGACAACCTTCGACTATAGAAGCAAAACCGAATATTCGCTCGAACAATATTTTGTTTGCAATATGTTAGTACTAGCTCGTTTATTTTACATTTCATTTATCATTACGATATTTAAAAATTTCTTGACCTTTTAATAAAGTGTACATTTATAAAAAACCGATGTTAATATAATGAACCATTCATACGATTGTGCAAATGTTTCTTCAACAAATGTTAGCAATAACCTAGTTTTATAGCAACTAGAACTTTCATTATTTATGCATAACTCGGTCTTATTGGTCTCTTAAACTTTATCTGTCAATAACACTGAACCTAAAAATGAATTTCAGTATATATGAAAAGTTGTTAACATTGCCAAACAAAACAAATTGTTTATATCGACTTCCTTAATCTACTGTTCACAGTCAGTTAGTTGAGTTTTGAAACAGCTTGTATATATTAGTAAAAGTATACACCTATACACGTATATGTTCGATCAAAAGGTAGACCAATAAAGCAATTACATTTGCATAAGCAAAGCTGATTTGACTTTGAAATGCGCGAGAACTAATTGAGTTCTCTCTCTTTCCTTTCTCTTAGTTAGTTACTAACGGACGATTTACTACGACCACATATATGGGATCTTCTTCTTGTATATCGAGGCCACTTTATTAAATAAGCAATCGGTGAGTCGTCCTTTTGAGATATCGATTGGATTGCGTCTTACACGCCCTTCGTCGAATGACTTCGTTGGCTGACTGAGACGAAAGGTAGATATCTATATGAACGAGTATTGCTAACGAATTGCCCTATCGTTGCTTGCTAACAGCACTAAACCAACCGTCTTTGTACATTTAATGACGATCGTTTTATCATTCGACGACTCGATCTTTGCTTCAACGAGCCAACCATAACGGGTCCTATTAATTATCACTCTTTGTTATTAATCTTTATTAATTGGCTCTTGTTTTTGATGTCCTTAGAAATCTTGGTGTTTGTTTTTGTTTTTATTTTTTATTAACCCATCAGCACTTCCGTTATAAACATATTGCTCACGCTCGAATTAAAACAACGATAACTTTTTTTCTTTTATGGAATGGATAGTTGACATTTTTTTTCTATTTTCATGAAATTTTGTCTATTTTCAAAATATGAATTCCCTAAATTTCTCAATCCTATGTAAAGTTTAAAAAAA